CAGGTTTTAAAGCCTAACAGAGCTGGGTTTCCTCCGAGCTCCACCATGAACTGGAGCTCCTGTATTCTCTTCATGAATGTACCTAGAATGTCATGGGAGCACAAGGAAAGATGTTGTGAAGGAGGTAATGTTTGAGGTGACACTCAGGGATGCATTTGACAGGGACCAAGGAAAATACAAGAAAGCAGAAATAGCCTGAACCAATGCAAGAGGCTAGAATGTAATTATTTTTCTAGACATTGACCCATCTTTTTCTGGAGCCTTCAGAACATGAAACATGGCACATGGGTATGTGTGTGTGTGCGCGCACACACACACACACACACACACACACACACACACAGAAAATTGGAATGGGAAGGCAGAGCATTTTGAGGGATCCCCTGGCTGTCTACCATTGCAGGCTGCTTCTGTAATTGTGGGACAAACCCAAAAATAAAAAGTAATTTAAAGAATGAACAAAATACTCGTGGAGATTGCATCATGATTAGAGTGATTTTAATTTTTTTTCTTAAAATTTTCTTTGTTTTCCAAATTATCTGCAAAATTTCAATGTTAACTTTCATATAATCAGAATATGATACTTTAAAATGAACAGCTGTCCCTTACTACTGTATTTTTCAGCTTATGTGTTGCCCAAGAACCCTTTATTACACAGGGATCCCTGGATTAGCCTGATTGACTGATTTATCCCTGTATCCAATTGGCCTTGAGAGTCAAAAGACAGAAAGAAAGACTGTTTTAGGATTGATGTGGATCTAGTCAAGTACTTCTGGTTGCCAGGGAACAGACATCCATAACCAACTACAGTACTCTAACTGATGGTAGACATGGTTCAGGATTTAGAGAGAGTCACTTAGGATAACTTAGTGAGCACTGAGACAAAGCCTCCGTGAATATTGAGATGAAACTTATTTGCCAATGCAGGTTTAATTTATCTCCAACAAATGATCACATCAGAAGGAACTCGGTATGCAAAGCACCACCAAAATGAACTACCTTCAGGCAGGTGTTCCTTGATATGCTACGGCTTTCGGTAGCTGCTCCTTGTCCATACAAAACAACTATAAATCCGTATTTCACAGGGCAGACACAGGAGACCACCTGTCTGACTCTTCACAGGGCAATCTGTTACCCTGACTAGAAGCAAGGCCATGTCTGCATATACATTAGAACTATCAGATGATTTCAGGGGATCACACATGAAAATGTCCTATTTCTTTTAGACAGAATTTGCCCAAAGGAGCCAATAGGCTCAATGCTATGAAGACAGATTCTATTTGCACCATCTTGATCCACATAGTATTTTTAAAATATGAATGGGGGGGGCTGGAGTTGTAGCTCAATGGTAGAGTGATTGTCTAGCATCTGTGAGGCACTGGGTTCATTTCTCAGCACCAAGTATAAATAAATAAAATAAAGATCCATTGACAACTAAAAAAAAAATTTAAAAAATATGACTCTTTTAAAAAATATGAATGGGCATCATTATTTAAGAAATAAGAATTTTATACAAAAATCTGGACAGTTTTTGCTGGACAGTAGAAAGATAAATGGAACAGGCAATAACAAGCCCCAGTTTTCCATAGAGTGACAACTGGGTGGAGCTGAGTGGAAGCTCCTCCCTCAAAACAAGTGTTTTGTGCTGACCAGGTCAGCTCAGTCACTCTCAGGCCTCTCCTCCACTGACCACCCCTTTCTATTCACCTTGGTAACTGCTTTTCTCCCAAGGACCTTAAGGTTTTGTGATCCTTGCTTTATAGTAATCTCACCTACAATTTAAATGTAAAGCAATTTAAAGCGGCGTACCTGCCATTCAATATCTTTATGGAAGTTACAGTGGCTTCACGACTTATGTCTCACTGCAAAACAGAGGCCTCCCTGATGTCATTTACAATCCAAGTTACCCTTTTCTGTCTCTATCTTGGGACCTGGACCTGAAGAATCAAGGCACTCCACTGCAAGCTCATTTACCTCCTGAGGCTAAAAGCTATTTCAAGCTCCAAAGAGATCCGAGGATATCTTGATTTACTCTTGATCATTCAGGATGAAGAGTTTTTTTTTGTTTTGTTTTGCCTTGTTTTTATAGGACCAATTGATTTCCTGGGCTAGTAAATATTTTCCTGAAGGTGAGCTCCATGGTGTTACAAGTGAGGTCTTTACAGACACATCAGGCAGGACACAAGCAATCAATGGGCAGGGCAGCACGGGCAGACCCCAGCAGGACAACCGGGTCCATGTGATGGGGGACCATGGCATTTCCTTTCCCTCCAGAAGTCATACATGGGGCTGAGAACTTGTTCTAGTCAGGGAGGCAGAACTGCTGATAGGTTTCTGAAAAGGCTGAGGATAGGCAACCTTCCCTCCAAGGCATAACAGATAGACAACCCTAACTTTGGTGGACCGGAAGTGAGACTGCATTTGGGAAATGATTTTGACCCTTTGATGATGAAGGGAGTTACTAAATGATGCTTTAAAAGTATTGGTGATTCTTCTTATCCACCCCCTTACTCCAGTCTGAGATTAGCCAGGAATTTTTATGCTAAGAAAATACTAGAATTTAACAAGCTAGGTCAAGAAGTCCTCTGCTATTACTGACAGCCTCAGGCATAAGGGTCTGACTCATGATGAGCACATTAGTAGGAAAACATCTAAAAATATAAAATCTAACTGAAATCATAATCCTGACCCAAACAAGACACCTAGAGATCTGGAGTAGACAATTAGATCTGAACATGGATAGTTTGTTCTACTTCCACGGTATTCATGAATGGATTGCCCCATCCCCCATCAGAATAAGTTAGCCTTGGTTGAATTTAACAATAGGAATCATGGTTTTAGGTTCCATTGCACAGGGTCAAACTTTTGCTCAAACACCACCTCCTCTTTGAAATCTTCCTGCTCCCAAGATCCAGGATGAAGTCTTCCTACTCTCTTCTTATCTAGTCCTTATATCTACTAGGGCAATAATCATATAACTTTTTTTTTTCCTTTTTGGTATGGGGATTAAACTCACTGAGCCACATCCCCAGCCCTATTTCGTATTTAATTTAGAGACAGGGTCTCACTGAGTTGCTTAGCGCCTTGCTATTGCTGAGTCTGGCTTTGAACCCATGATCCTCCTGCCTCAGCCCCCAGAGCCACTGGGATTACAGGTGTAATCTGGACTCACATTGCTTTTAAGTGTGGATGGAAGGTGTATTGTTGTGCCCTTGGGGCATGGCATATGTAGGATCCTTATAGGTCAAGTGTTTGTGGGAGATAGATGAGGGAGGAAACATTCTGAATGGATTGACGCTTAGCTCTACTTACCCAAGGGTCTAGCTTCTCCTGCTGGGTCTCTGCACATGTCGATTCTTGTACCTTGAATATATTTTCCATTTTATCAGAATGCTGAACTCTTACCATCTTTCAAGGTAGTTCAAAACTCACTTGTTTTTTTGTTTGTTTGTTTTTAAGGAATCCTTCCTGTATCCCTCTCTTACCTGACATCAGTCCTCTTCTTTTTACCCCCAGTTCTCCATTAGTTTACTTTAGTTATTACTTTGGGTTTAGAGACTTAAAATTATAAACACACACACACACACACACACACACACACACACACACACTGCTGTTAAACTTCAGGCTGATATTTTTCTTTTGTTCCTTCTATTTATAGGAGTCCCTGGCATAAAGTATATGGCATAATAAATATTTGCTGAATAAATAAATGAATAAGAATTCCCTGAATCTTATATATTAAACTAAAGGGTTAAATTTAAGTTTTTTACGAATTCTATCTTCAGCATATAGATTATTCACCTAATTATTCACAGCCAATTTTTAACTCTAGAGTAACTGTTCTATTATCTAGGGAATTTCTGTCACCTTTCTCAATCAGTTACCAGGAAGCAGAGTAGAGCACATCTCAATATCAACCTCAAAAAGAGAATGATTTAAAGGACAACATACTGAAAACTCAGATCACTCCTTTAAAATCAGATATAAAGGACACTCCAATATGTTTTCTTAAGTATAATATTTGTGCTATTTTAAGTGTTTCTTTATGACTTAAAGTCACTTTATTACATGCAGTGACATTGAAATAAATGGATTATAGATAATGGACATTAAATTTAAAGATTATTCAGGCTTGGTTAGAAAAGACTTTTTTAGGGGAACTTTAAGTGACTGAGAAAGGATGAGCATCAATAAGGCTAGAAAAATTAATTAAAAGGGGCAAAATCACAAAAGGCAGGCAGAACATGGAATGTATCCTCTGGGAAAAGAGCCCCAGCAGGCTTCGCTAGTCTGTCAGCACCTCTGGGCATCAGTGCTGTGTCTCATATATGCTAGAGGCCAAACCAAGCATGGCAGTGAGGTAGAGGGAAGATATACTGCAGACATTCACGAAGAAGGACTATAACGTGGTGACTATGAGCTGGGAGGAAATATCTTCCTTTGAATGTTTTTGATGTGCAGAACCAGACTTTCTTCTGTTTTAAAAATATCTTGATTTTATTTATTTTTTAAAATGTTTTTACTTGTAGATGGACACAATTCCTTTATTTTATTTATCCATTTTTTATGTGGTGCTGAGGATCAAACCTATTGCCTCACACATGCTAGGCAGGCGTGCTATCACTGAGCTACAACTCCAGCACCCAAATATCTTGATTTCTAATGTGGTGCCAAGTTGAAATGTGGATATTATTACTAGCCACCACTCTTTCAACTTAGAGGGATACTTAAAAACAAGAAGTTGATAACAGGACTGGGGTTGTGGCTCAACGGTACAGCGCTAGCCTAGCACGTAAGAGATACTGGGTTAGATCCTCAGCACCTCATAAAAATAAATAAGTAAATAAAGGTATTTGTATTGTGTCCATCTACAATTAAAAAAAAATTTCAACAGAAGTTGATAGCAGTATGATCATAAGGTGTTCTTTTTTTCTTTCTGATTTTTAAGAAGCAAAGAATTTCCAACCAATCCAATAAAATTGAATCCTAATCAGGAAAACATTTGTCACTAGTCAGATTTTATTTTGCTCCATTGATTGCTTAAAATTTCAGTGAGCCTTTTATCTGGATTGGTGTTAAAACTCTGATGATGTCAGGCACATGGTCATTTAATCAACAATACAAGAGAACACAGAAAAAGATTTTGGGAATAAGTGATCAAAGCATAAAGCTACAACATTCTACATTAATGAAAGTTTTAATATACACTTGACTGAAAGATGCGTACAATAACTGAATCTCCATTCGTAGGCGGCCAACAAGATGTGAATGAATTTATTAACTTCAAACAAAACTTCAGGTTGTGCACTTAAAAAAATTACAAATCATTTAGAAATGGAAATTAACAATGGAAGAAACAATGACTATCAGACACGATGGGATGACTAAAGAAAGAATTCAAGTATTGTTTGTAGAGTTCTTCAGACATCAGTCTCTGAAAAGTTTGTGCATTTCCCATCTTTGCATAGTAAAAAAACAAAAACAAACAAACAAACAAAAAAACACACATACATCACTTGGTAAAACTCCACAGCTCTATGTGATTCATGTTTCATAACATGCACCTATGGATACTGCTCATTTGTCTAGTAGGAGTAGCTCTAATTCAGTGGGCTCATGCACTGTCCCAGGTGAGCAATGAAGTTAGCGCACGCCTCCTCATCCAGATGTCATTATTTATCGCAGTAAAAGTATAGCAGGTGAAATGGGAACTTGGTCATCACTTAACACTCTTGTTGGGTAACATTAAACAGTGATCTGCTTGTGCTTTGAGCTCAAACTAATAAAAAGGAGAATTCACATCACAGAAATCAGCAAATGAATGGCAGGTGCGAGAGGAAATACAGCAGAGTTTGAAACTACATAACCTAATACCACCAAAAATAATTATTATCCTTTGTTTACAATATGATTGCATTATCTTTCATATTCATACACACAGAGCTTAAAGCTTGTGTATTTTACATATACACACAAATAATTTGACATTGGAGCATAGGTTTGGTTACCCTTGAAATTGCCAGCATAACAAAAAGTTATACTGACATTTGCCATATGTACATAATATCTGGGGACCACTGTGGTCTGATTTAAAACATAACATCGCACATTTACAATGTTGTTTGTGAAATGTTCAAAAGTTAACAATAGAGATTTTTTTTTGTAACCATATGGTTTTATGTCTATTAAGTCACCATGGTACCTCTGGAACAGGAGGGAAATGCATATGGTGTGTTGTTAGCAGCAGTTTGGTATCTCCTAGTGGTGAGGACCCACTAAGCAATGCAGCAACAGGGAGATATACCAAGTAATCTGAGTTTCCTCCAACCTTCCTCTGAACTTGAAGAGCCATTTCCATTCAGTAAAGGAATACAACCTGTGTCACGTGAAACCAGAAGTAAGGCTGATGAACCTCTTAGATAGCCCTGTTATTACCATATAAACATGGAGCAAGTTCTCGAGAAAGGCTGCATACCTGTGTAGCACCTATTACTCAGGAAGCAATAACAGGATTAGAATGTTCAATTGTGGTCTATGGTAGCATATGGAAATTAAGGTTTCTGCTCTATGATTGTGAAATTTCTATAATGAAAGATACCCTAGGGGGAAGTCCCAACGTTTTAAGCAGTACATTTTTAGAACATCACCTTTTCCAAAGTCAAAGAAAAAGTTATAAAACTCATATTATGAATCTTGCTGAAAAGGGACTTAGTGCTAAATCTAGAAACTAACTGGGTACCATGAAGAAATGAATAGTACAACTGGAGTGTCCTGTTCCTAAAACAGAGACATGGAAAATTGGCAGGGTGGGTCTATGGGGACCTTTAGTAGAAACTCGTCTCTACATGGATGCTCACTGGTGATGCAAAAGTTTGTGCATGGGAAACAAAGCTGTTTTGGCCAAATTTCTTTATTAACTTGTTTGCTTAGCACTTGAATGGAAGCTATACATTAACCATAAACAGAAAAAAAATCAGTGAAAGTGAAGGAAACTCAGAGGGACTTGGGAACCCCAAGATTTTATCTGCAAATGTTCCTGGAGGGAAAAGAAGAACATGAATTTGCATATAGTGGAATCCCATTATAATCCAGCACAACATTCTGTGTGTCAACAAAATGCTGTGGGCCAAACGAGGCTTCCAGAAAATACTGCACACAGAATTACAGCCTGTTACAACAATGCCAACAAGAAGGTTAATTGCTGCTTCTGTCTCCATTCCCACTGTTACAATGGAGTTCTACCATATATATTTTTGAGAGAGAAAGATGGAGTATAGACAAAATATGAATAAAATGGAAAGTTTAACTTTTCCCCAAGCTTTCAACATTTAAAAATTACTGTTTTATTATTATTATTATTTAAGGCTTTAAGTTTATCCTCCTTTCACATTAAGGATAGGGAAAGAAAATTGTCAAAACCAAAAACTAAAATTATGAGCTTGGCACTTCTGTGATTAATTTGAGAGGGTGGCTACTTTCTTACATTATATACATATGTTTATGATGACATCAAAATATTTTAGAGACTCTTCAGTGCATTTCACTTGCATTTACATAATTTTTGTTGTTTTGATATGGGTTATTTTGTTGTTTGTGACCCCCACCCTTTTGTTTATTTTTGGTTTCCAGCATACTAACTTTAAGTTAGACTTGTTTTGTGCTCAAACTCCCTGCATCTGTGGCTACGTCTGTCTTTAGCAAGCCCAACAATCATAGGACATGGTACAAGAGAGGACAGAGACGAAGAAGGAAAGAAAGAAAAGAAACAGAAAAGATGGGAGCAAGCAACAAACTTGAATTTACACAGAATCTTGACAAGGAAAAAAAAAATCTCAGTACAGACAAGTGAAAATGATGTGTCAAAATCTCTTATTTCCATATTTACATTTATAAAAGAACTATACAATAGCATCATTGTTCAAATTCCAGCTCCCATTTCCAAAGGATGCTTGGTCCAGAAGGAAAAATAATAGGGAAAGTGAATCAACAAGAGCATGGTCCCACGAAGTTCGGCCAAGGACTCATCTAGAAGGGATTGGGGGTTCTTAAGGGGCTGGGGAAGGGGCCACAGGGGGTGAGCATGGGTGAGGAGGTGTTTTGTAGGCCCAGGCAGCTTCTGCGTGGTCATCTGTCATCTTCCCCTTAGGAATTCCATTGCAGGTTTTGCTGAGGATTGGCTTGCTAGCTTCTAGTAATATATGCCATGCAGTTTTTACCCTTTCAAAAATTGAATCTTCATGCCACTGGAGTTTGTCATTGGTAGTAAAAGAAAAAAAATCATGCCAAATCATTTAGAAGATATTAAGTGCCAGCAGGCTGAGGGGGGGATAATCATTTGCTATTTTTTAATGGTTCTTTTATTGCACTTAATGTTTTTTGTTCCTTTCTCCTTTCCTTAGGGAAAAAAAAAAAAGGATTCCAAACAGTTCTTTTGATAACATGGTCTTTGCCCCACTTTTATTGACAGGTTGTGGGAGGGGTTCTTTGAGATTATTTCCAAAAGGGACAGTTTTCTTTTTCCCCATCCCCATCACCCGGACTTCAGCTCTGTAGTCATTACCACCCAGTGTTCTTGCTTACAGACTTAAGAGTTCCTGCATAGTCGCGGCAAGTGTGTCACACCCAGGACCCAGTAGTGCAAGGTGGCATCATCCCATGCAGCTGATTCAGATGGGGCCTTGCTGAGTTGGATCGAACCTCCTCTTCTTGACATTTCTTCCAGAGTGCGTCAAAACAAGATGCAAGCAGAGGGGGGGAAATCCACAATATTAATCAGATGATGATAAGAGAGAGATGATGATGATGATAGCAACGCTAGTTCCAGAGCTAAGCAATCAACTCACACAGAGGCAGTAGCCCCAAATAACTTGAAACACACAAGAGCCAATGCCTTTGAATATCACTGTACCTCCCCACTAGACTATGCACTTGGGTGTAAAGCAAAAGAAACTTCAAATTATTCATTTGCAATCACAGGCACACTCTGTGGCCCAATTTACCCCTTATTTCAGAAGTAAATGACATTGCTCATTCACTAGATGAAAATCTTTACAGGAAGGCCTCTTCCATGTAGAGGCTCCTGGGAGAATGAGAAAAACTCTGAAAATCTTAGAGCTGTTTCCCTTCAAGCCTCCAGAGTTCTGGACCAGAGGATTTGGCCTTTGCCAAGGTGGAAAAAAAAAAAAAAGCCTTGCTCTACTAGTTATCTTCTGCCTTGGGTGTGTGAGCTCCTTCCCCACAATGGAACAAGCATTTTTCATACTAGAAAGTTCAGAAACAGAGTACACAGTTAGGTGGCACACTCAAAGGAGAATGGACACAGGCTCGGGTTAGTTAAGCAAATGCAGCAGTTTAGCTTAGTTGAAAATAAGCAAGTTACATTGCTTTGCTCACAGTGTCCAGTCTCCTAAAAAGTGATTCCTATGTTTAAAAAGAGAAATGAAAAAAAAAAAAAAACCAGCAAGACACTACAAGGCAACAACAAAAGTTGGTTGCAACCTCCCCATGGTCTGGCTTCATGTGGGGCATCAAGCAAGGGCTCATGCATTATTTTGCATACTGGCGGGTGCAATGCTGCTGCCACCAAGGCATCATGCAAAACTGGAGACCAAGGAGTCCCCAAGTTCCTCATTCCCTTGCCACTCATCAGCGCCAGTGGATACCCTGGCAGGCCCTAAGTACCAAAAAGATGACAACAGATTCCTCCTCCCCCATGAGTAATCCAAAATAAAAACACCACCAAAGATCAAAATATGGAGAAGGCATTCTGCAAAGTTTTTATTTTTCCAAAGGACCACCTTGAAGGCAAACCTCCCCTTTCTGTTCTTAAAAATGTTTCCATTAAGACATCAAGAATGGCCAGAGGATGTAGCTCATCAGCCTAACAGATAATCCATTGCAGAGAACTCTATTTGCAACAGACCTACTTAGTTCTCTTCACCATTGCCACCCACTCTTTTGAGTCAATATTCTCAAAAGGAGACAATGCTGATCCTGCCCAGGAAAGAGGAAAAAACAAATGGGAGAGTCTCTCATAATGTATCTTCCACTGAGCTCGATTACTGTGGAGCACAGGATCTGTGTCTGCTACCCAAGCTCATGTTCCCTGAAGCAGAAATTTAAGGAGCTACATTTCCCTTTGTGAGTCAGGTGAGAGAAACACAGACTGCCTGATTTGGAGAAATGACCCTGAAAGACCAGAGACCCCAACCTTGTTAGCTGTGTATTGCTGAACTCAGGAGAAGGGTTAAACTAATGTCTCCTCAATTAATTTGAATGTAGAGGAAAAGACAAACCAAGTCAGGACTGTGCTTATAAATGACTGTACTGCACACATCTAAATCCCTTAATTCAAATGCAGGGAATATCAAATAAACTCTCTCATCCAAGGTTGTAACCGTAGTGCGATTTGTTTTTAGAGGAGATATAACATTCTATTTCAGCCTGGCACCCAGGCAATCTACAGTGTTGAAAGGCATGTGCTCCTTTTAAAGGTTGATTTCTGAAGCTTATTTGTACTTTTTATAGAAACAATGCTCTACACTGGGTTCCTTGGTCAGATGAAAAATATTTTCATTGCGGAATATGAATAGGGAGATTGGATTCCAGGACCTTTTCCCTTCCACTGATGTTCCAGCAGGTCAGAGGCAAGCTACAGTACAGGGGAGGATGAGGACAGAGGGGGACAGCCTTGCAGCAAGACACTGCCGGGCCTCCTCACAGAGGAACCACAAAACCACCCTGATCCACCTGACATTGCAAATCATCTGTCCTGCATTTTTTTTATATGAAAGCAAAATTCTTTTTGCTCAATTTTAATGTGAAAGTATAATTTTCTTGGGCAGGTCATTGTTGTCTCCCCTCCCAAATGGTTTCCTCTGGTTATCCTCTCCTGAGATTCTGAGGGCAATTACTTTCTAATAGCCACTAAAGTATTTCTGGGTCACTATAAAATATTAGCATGATCCTTCCAGTGATACAGTTTTTATCAATTTTTACTACTTCTGAAAATTTGGGCTTTAGTCTACAAGGTACATATTATACACATGTATTTAAAATTTACCACCCAGGTATCAACAGCAATCTTACAGCTATAGATATCTTGCAGGGTCTGTGGTCATTGACTGCTATTATGTTCTTATCTTTCTCTACTTAGTCCCCTTACCCCTACCTGCCACCAAGGACTCCTCACTCAAACTTCTGCTAGACCACCTTGGACTGAATTCACATCCTCAGGGTTGAAAGAGTCGTGGAAATACATTGCATCTTCGTGGTCAGCCATCTGCTAAGTATGGATGATGAAGTATCTACCCTGGGAGTCCCAGGCATTAAGGGAATCCAGCTCCTTATTTTGTACTGGGATATGGTCATGGAATTTAGAAAAGCAGGCATCTGGTTTTAATATCCCTGTCCAGTCATAGGGAGACCAGCTAAAACTGATTCCATTTCCTAATGCTGTAAAAATCAAAATATGCTCCACTCCCACCCCCAATGAGGCACTTTATTTTTTATAATATAGGTAACAAGATATAGCCCTTTCAATTTCATTTTATAGGTGAGCGTAAATAATCTTTTCTTTAGCATGTCCAACAAAATGGAACACAGGCCTAAAAGAGTCTCTTAGAGCCAAAGTCAGGCTTGGTATGAACTCATAGACCAAGTAACTTCTCAGAGACAGAAAACTGCATATGATAGTTACATGCTTAACAAATGAACACCTTCAGTGTCAGGAGCTGCTCCGGCAAGCCAGTATGGTCTCTGTTGGTAGTGGTTTCTACAGACTAAGATATTATAAGATGGTTGAACAGCTCAGTAATAATCCTAGAATCCATGTGATTTGAGCTGTCAACAAACTGTCACTCTTACCCTCATGTTCTTTCCTACCATCACTGAGAATTTCTCTGCTCCTATTTCTCTGCACCATCAACCATGGTGTTGATAAATGATGTGTGCATGTAAGTGATCACTTTACTGATATCTAAATTCCTGTATTCAGGGTGGGGGATGTGTACTTGCTTAGCATGTGTGAAGTCCTGGGTGTGGTATCCCTATCCAGCACCACATACACACACAAAAAAAAAAAAAAGAAAGAAAGAAAGAAAAAGAAAAAAGTAATCATAAATTCCTACACCCAAATTTAGAGATTGTATATAATATCCCTGTCCAAGGTAATAAGGCCAAAGAGTCTGCACATAAGAAATTCATGCCTCATTTCTCCTAAGCTTGAGGGAAGATACTACTGAAATGATCCATCATCTACCTGACATGTTCCAGTATTGGGCAAAAACAACAGCTTTAATTATCTAGCGGAGCAGCATGTTATTCAGCATTACGTGTCAGGAGCCTCTGTGAGTCAACGAGGACAGAGGTTAGCAATGCTCTGTGCCGCTGTTGATGACATTATTCTGTGTGGGTAGGTGATGAAGTGGCAAAGCAGTATAAGGTGAACAGAAATAATAGATATGGGGAAAGGTGGACAAATTGGTGTGCAATGTTCCTATGTTCATTTTCCACCGGACTTCTCAGAGTACATTCTGAGACTGTGAACACCTGGGAACCTATAGACTTAATGATCCCTCAGCATCCTCACCTCTGGAGTCCAGAGCAGTTACCAAAATACACCCACCACCTTACTCAACAGGTCAGAATGTGTAAATTAGCAGTAATAACTCACGGAAGGAAGTATTTTCTTCTTTAGGGGAATTCTCCAATCTTGCTTGCAGAAGTCTTGTTTACATTAACCAAAGCTCTCAGACTCTACCGTTTTACTAAATATGTATTAATTGTAGGATCACAATAATTTTGATAAATATTCATCACCTTACACACACAAAGTACATACATTCACAAGTGCAAACACTCATATACTCATGCTTTTTAACACTTATTTCAGAAGAAAAGAATTATTTTAAAAAGGCTATGTGACAGCTCACAGTATAGAGGGATTTCTCACTTATGCTTGTATACTGCAGCAAGACATGGATGGTATGACACTTTCACATCTAAATTATTTAGAGTATTTCACCTAAAGGAATGTGACATTAGGAAAAAGCAATATGTCCTTGGGCAATTAATACATTTTCCTTTAACCTGAAAGTTTACACACTCTCAAATTCTTCAGGAGACTTTGCTAATTTCTCTGTTAGTAATACAAAACTAATTTCAGAAAAGATTCCCAGTAGGAATATATTTAGAACAATCTTCTTTACAAATCATTTTCAACTTCATATTGTAAAGGAACTTCTTTTTTTGGTTTAATTTCTGCTGTGCTCAATGAAACATTCAAAGGCTTTCAGTTCAACTAGCAAATAACTGTACTTCCGAATTATCCCTAGACTAATAGTCTACAAAACTATCCAAGTTGGGAGGAAACTTAAAGATGATCATTTGGCACCAAAAGTCTTCTATTCACAGTTAGAAGTCACTGTTTCAAGCTTAAAACAAACTACACAGCTACCACTAGAATCAAAAAGTAAAATCATGTAGCATCCAATAATCCATGTGACTTTCTACAAAATTTACCCTTAAAGTGATTTTCAGAGTCACAGGGGATGGGAAGGGGCCTTGACTTGCTTAGTACCCACACAGCATGTACCCACACAGCAGTCTCCACCAAGCAAGCCGCAGAGGCTGGTTCTCACTCCCTATGTGACTTAGTATCAAGCGCCACCTCTTCTCCTGCTCTTCATCTCTCACAAATAGAAATCATCAGCACAGGGCCTAATCCACTTCTATACACAGTGATAAAGGCTTTTCCATTTTTCCCGAAGAAACATGCAATTCAAGCTGTGAGCTAGGCCAGGCCACTGTTTTGAGGTCCTGCTACAGAATAGTGTGCTCTTGTCTCCAAACACTAAAATGGTAAATTTGGCATTATACATGGTTGCATGGCAACAATGAATGGTGGACCGTTTTCCAGGTCTTTGATGGTAAGGTATCTTAATGTCAAGAAGGCATATCCCTGGGCATATTTATGACAAAGGCCAGGGAGCATTATAAAATAAGAATGAACTGTGGTATTGCTATAATGTAGAATGATGTAAAATTTTTAATAGTAGTAGAAATCAAACCCAGGGCTTTGCACATGCTAGGCAAGTGCTCTACCACTGAGCCACAACCCCAACCCTACTGTGGGACACTAAGATTTAGCTAGAATTTGACCATCCCAAACAAAAACACATTCTTATGAGATGGCACATGAGTGACCCACCATCTGGGCAATGCCTTATTAAAGCCATGAGGAGAGATCCATATATCAGTGCCCATTTTGTGTATGTGTTATGCAAATGTGCTGATACCAAACTACTATTTCACTGAACAAATTCAACTTCATAATATCTCTATAGAAAAGAAGTACCATTTGATACTATCTTTCCAAGTTGAAGCCACTCAAAAACTGTAGGCTTATTTGTTACATCTTGATAACAAAAAAAAAAAAAAATAGAAAATGTTGAATTTATTTAAAATATATTTTGGTGGTTCATCTGTCATAATAAGCTTCTAATAATATTTTAGCTGGCTTAAATACATCAAATTCAGTATCCCAAATATTAATTACAAAAAAGTTCATAATTAAGACAATTATTCCATTAGTTGGAAGAAAAAGCCTCCTATATTGAATAACTGGAAGGAAGCAAAGTGGGTTTTGAATTTGGCTAATGGGTTTTATTTTCTACTTCAAGTTATTTCAATAGATCTGGTTGAAACCTAATTTATCACAGGGAATATTTGACATGGGAGGCTTACCTACAAATCATAATAATCAAGTCACCATAGCATAAAAAGTGATTATCCAATGAATCTAAGATATAGAAACAATCAAACTAGATAAATCAGGTTTAAAAGTTTTGATCAAAATTAAGGCTTATTTGTGATTATTCACTGTGGTCTATTTTAGCAAAATCTTAGTCAAGTGATCGATATGCAATCCAAAGTAAAAGGTCACTCAGACAACACACCAGGCCTGTCAGTTATGTCAATACTCGCAGTTAATTAGAAAATACTAAGTGTCACAAAGTCATTGATTTCAAATTCCAGCTGGAAACCAATTTAGCTGGTTACGGAATTAATGAAAATATTTTTTCGACCTTGTTTTACAAACAAGGAAGCTTTTCCAAATCTCATATAATACGTTACATGTGGAAAATAATGACTACCAGGTCACTGAGGTTGTGAAAATTTCACCAGAATATAAGCCAGTTTTATACAGATATTAATAGGGATTTGTATTGATTTATTTCCAATATGCTTCCTTGATTACCTGTGTATACAGGAAAGTATCTCAGAAGACTGGCTCTTACAGCCAATGTCTTCTACTGAAGAGCCACTTTGCTCTTAAATGAAAGCATGCAATTTTCTTTTCTTTTCTTTTTCTTTTTTTTTTTTGAACCAGGGTTTGAACCCAGGGGCACTTAACCACTGAGCCAGCACCCCCTACCCCCAGCTTATATGTATAATTTAGAAACAGAGTCTTGCTGAGTTACTTAGGGCCTGGCTAAATTGCAGAGGCTGGCTTTGAACTCGAGATCCTCCTGCCTCAGCCTCCCGAACCAAGCCACTGGGATTACAGGTATGCACTACCACGCCCAGCTTCTTTCTACTTTTTAATGTTATCCCACTTGCCTGAGATGGCGTTTGAGGCTCCATGTTCCTTCCTTTCTAACCCATTTCTAAAGTAAAAATATTTATTCTTTACAGTTTTACTGTTAAAATCTTGTAGCAGGAACTCAAAACTTGGTTACGTAAGCAGAAAAAAAGAAGTGCCAGAGCCACCAAGAAGACGACATGCGGCGTTGCTTACTTAAATCCCCAGCCTGTGCCCCCAAGGACAATAGCTGCTACCAGGATGGCACCAGCGATGGAGCCTATTATGAGATTGGTGGCACTAGGACCTGTGACAAAGGATCATAGGAAGAAAGTCATATGAGCCGACCACTTTCATCACCACAAGGGAAAAGCAGTTCAGCGGTTTCAGGAAGTAAACACTCTGTTGTACAAGATGGCTAAACATTTAAATTGCTTTTTTTTAAAAAAAAAAAAAAAACTTAGCTTACTTGTACTTTAGATTCCACGGTGATTTATATGCCTTTAAATCTCAAGTTTCTGCACTGTTGACAGTTAAGTTTCATTAAATTCACCTTTCGCAGAATTTGAAGCACAGAGGCCCCATTCGCTTTCGTTGCACGTCTTGGATCTCTTCCTTCCCCTTCCCCAATTCCATAAATCAAACAAATAAACGCGCACATAGAGAACGCGACTGCATTAGAATTAGCTCTAGCAGACTGACAAATGAGGGCACGAGAGGAAGTAAATTGATTCCACAAAAGTCGTCAGAGTGCTTTTTTATTCTGCACTTTGGAGACACTTAAAATTCAGAAGTCAGAGAGAGATTATCAATAAAGACCTGACTCTGAAGGCTTGCTCTCAAAGAAAGATATTCTTCACCGTTCTTTCTGTATTAAACACCAAAATGGGGGTCCAAGGTAAGACATAAAGGAAGCGCAAAACTCATTTGGGTAATTTTGGGTAAGTGGAAAAAGAGATTCAATTGAGACTGTCTTTTAAATTCCCACATACGAAGAGAAATTGGAGGCTTGGAGATATTAAAAATAAAGGAAGGGAGAGAAGGAGGGAGGGACAAGGAAAAGGAAAGGAAGATAAGAAGCTTGAAGGACAGACAACAGGAAGGAAATTAGAAGGTAGAGCTTCTACCAATTGTTGAGTAAGAAATGATACATTGCAGTAACTCTATTACTCTCCTTCACTTGACATTTCAAAATCTAAGCAGTATTAAATTTAGTACAAGAATTGCCTTAAATGTTACATCCTCTAGGATGCCAATATATGCAGGTACCATGCCCCTAACAACAAAATACTAACCATGGAGCCCTTTCCCAGAAGTCACAAGGCCAACATTGTTATTTTTTCTAAAATCCTCACATCCATTTACACATTCATTTCCACATAAAAATTCTCTTTTCTGCTCACATTAGTCCCCTCAGCTGTGTACATAAATGGATAACACTTTCAGCAGCACTAAAATTGTATGCATGATGTTTTTGTCCAGAGAATAGCCAGTGCTTGTGGACACGAGCAGGCAGGTCCACGACAGTTGCGTGGAGTCCCAAGGATGTGGGTCTCTTCAGGTGCCTGGGCTTTACTGTGGTTCTACAGAACATGAATCTCAATGGCCTTTAGAGATATGCCAATAATAATAAATAACAAAACTGAGAGCAATAAAAGCAGTTTTGCTGCCATATAATGAGCACTTACAATGTGCCAGGTGCAAATCAGAACATCTGACATATTGTCTCACTTGATCCTCCACATCACATATGAGGTAGGAACTATGACTATCCCTGTTCAATAGAGGAGGGAACAGAAGCTTCTAGAAGTTAGTAAGTGATGAAGGCAAGATCTGAACACAGATCTGACTCTAAAACTTATGCACTAAATCAAGGGTCAGTGAACTAGAGTTCACAGTCCGAATCTAACCTACGATCTGTTTTTTCCAGAGACATTTTATTGGAACACAGCCATGCTTATTCATTTACATATTGTTATCTTTTGCCATGGCTCTTGTTTTGCTAAGACAGCAATGTTGAAAAGTTGCAACAGATATCCTGTACCCCTGCAAGCTGAAACTATTTACTTACAGAAAGTTTGCTAACTCTTGTTCTGATGGAACTTGATTCCATTTACATATATTTCCTCCCCGCCTTTCAGGAAGGAATCAAATTTTGGAACAAGCACTTAAAAAAATTCACATTTCCAAGTACACACTCAAAACGGCAGATAACTTGCATTTTACTAACTTAGAAAACACAGGTGGGCATCAAACAATAATACATAATCCTTGAGAAATGATCTCTTGATCTCTGATTTACAATTATAAACTGAGCAGACATGTTTAGGAAACTAAACCTGTGCAAGGAACCCTTAGTGACTAAATGAAAAAGACATTATTATTTAAGGTAGAAAGTTTTAAAACAATCTATATTTTACTATGTGAATTTTATTTTGTAAATGCTATATTTACTTGGTATCAGGTCAAAATTTGGAATATGAAGGGAAAAAGTCAGAAAACTGCAAAAACAGTTCATGAAACAATAACAGACCAATTTTTATACACTTATACACACTTACCTGTCACAATTAGAAATAGCAACACTGGAAAGAATGGATGATAGAAACAAACTGGAAACAGGACTGTGTTTACTACCAAGGCCATTTTGATTCTGCCCATCTCTAAGACTCAAGGGAAGAATTATTAAAATCCATCCCTTCAATTAGTATATTTCAGGATGACAAAATTATGACCAATAAATAATGTAAAAAAAATCCACATTTGGGATGATTTTTAGAAAACTACCTTTCTTCACAGAGGTCTCTCATATAAATGTATCTATAGAACTGTTCTTGGAAAGGAATGTCACTGGGATGTATAATTCAGTCAACGGATCCAAGGTGAAATTTTACAGGGCAAAGTTCTTGTTCTCTCTAAATATTTTTACCTCTGTTGCATACTTTATTTTCTGACAAGTAAGGAGAAACAAAAATCTCTTTTCCAGTAGTTCAACTTCTCCTGGCCTAACTAGCTTCACAGTCTATACTGATGAAAGATGAGTTAAGATCCCATATAGAGGAGAATTCTGTCACCTTCCACAAAGTGTGAACCTGGGGACCTGCTCTCCTCTTAATGGTATTTCAGTTCTTGGATTTCCCAACTTTCATAAAAGAACATCCAGGTGTCACCAACTAAGGGGACTAAGGTAGACAGAGGCTGAAATCATCAACATGCCTGTGTTTTGGGCTGGTTGGGTAAAGGGTATCTGGTGATTCCTTAAGACACTAGTAATTTCTTCTTGAGTCACAGTGAAGTGTTACCACAGTAAAAAATAAAAATTTAAAAAAAAAAAGTGTGACTGGCTACTTCTGCTATTTGTAAAGGCTCTCTCTGTAACTACACCCAGAGAAAAAAATCCCAACACTCTTTTAGTCTACAGATTAACAATCTCATTTGGTAGTATTACATGGAGAACTGACAGCTATTCTGAGGATGTGCATCAAGTGCAGGACAACCTAAATAAAGACACCAGGAGAACTGTGCTTCTGAGAGCTTAATGGGCAAGTGGCACACAACACATTTATTTATACACTGAATACTTTTAACACAGACCCACTAGATGAATTGCAGCTTTTCACTTAAGGTGGTGCAGGTTTGGATTAAATATCTTTTGATTCTTAATGTTCCTTGCTCCCAAATATTTATGTGAACTTCACATTTGAATTTTTAACCTATTTTATAATAAAGAAATAAAAGCAGTCGTCAAAATATCCTCTTTAAAAAACATTGCGCTGAAAACTCCTATATCATTCTAAATAAACGGAGAAAACATTCAGTGATCATCATTCTTATTATCTATAAAGAATGCTCTGTGGATAATTCCTACATGTATAGGTGGCTTCGTTTGATTGGTGAGGATTAAATTTATGACAGCAATCCTAAGAAAACATTAGTGTGAGAGCATTTTTGCCAACAAATAATGATAAAAAAATGTTAAGGCTTGTATTTGAAAATTACTTTTATAAGTGGAGGAGCAATGGAAGTTTTGGATTAGTGCATTAATTGTAAAAATATAAGCACCCCCAAGGTTGTTTTATGCCCCACATTGTTCCAGACAGGAGAAGGTTCTACATTGCACGAGAAAGATCACAAGACACCAACACATCCAAATCATACCACAAGTTGAACCACCACAGGAAACACAGCCAGCAAGACACAGGTGAAGTCAGGCACCACGCATCACCCCGCACACCAGGCACCGAACAGAAACACTCTGAAATGCACAAGGATGCTTACTCTATTCCCCACCCTGTGCCTCCAAAAATCACCCCCAGGGCCAGAATGGTGCCGGCCACGGCCCCTATGAGCCTGCTTGTGGCCATGTTCACTGTGTGGAGGGAAAATGGACATTTTTTAACAGAAAAATACACACTGATTTCACTCACATACAAAATAATCTATTCAGGAAATACTTTGAAAGTAAGATAAATCTGGATGTCTTTGTTTGAAGGTTTGAAATTAAGATTGATATCTACGTTGAAAATATTTGAGGATAATTTTGAATTTACCTTCAAATTCTACATACCCTACTTTAAAACATAATCTCTCATAAATACTTTAAAACAAACAGTCCACTTTGAGTTCCAGTTCCTATTAAGTGCAAGGTAAAACTCAAATGTAACTTAAGTTATATAAGAGCAAATCTGTATTTATTTAAAAAGTAGTTATTAATACATATTGTCATAAGTTCTCAAACTGAAAGTATGCCCAACATCTTTTCAAAATTCAGAATATATAACTCAATTTTGCGAAAATCCTTAGAAGTTTAAAACAGAGTCGTTTTTACATTAAGCACTTTTTACCTGGGAAGTTATAGAAAGGTATATTTCAAAGAGCTTTGCAAAGTTTGAACTGCTGTCTTAGAATATGGACATTTAGGTTTTTGTTTATAAACTTCAGTGTATGACCATGCACTGAGAGAACATTAAGGTCTCTGGGAAACTTCACTAGCTGCGGCAGATCACCAAGCTAGCCAATGCTGACAGAGCAGAAACTCTCAACACATGTGCATCAACACATCTGTGCCCATAGGTGAGATGAAATCTGGGGTAGAAGTAGGAAGGTGGATTATTTAGGGTATTTTGTGTGTGTGTGTGTGTGTGTGTGTGTGAATTTATAAGTGTATGGGTGCATTTACCCTCATGTTTCTATGTAAATCAAAAGGACTGGTTTCCACTGACCTTGCCAATGAAAACAGAGATCAGCTTCCACAAAGCTGCACTTCACAGAGACTGTGTGCTATGAGAAACAGTGAAATGAAACAAA